GTTCATCTTGGCAGCTCGTACGGCCTCGTTTAAACTCTACCACCTAATATTTTACTGTTGTAAACAAAGGAGCAGACTCCCTCAGAGTAGAATCTAGCTCCGCTTTGATATTGGTTGGACTGAAGCCTTTCAAATGAAAGTATTGTATCACATAACGATGACCAATTTTTTCCATGTTTACAAATTCACTGAGAGCGTTCACTATTGATGGCTGCCAAACAAATACTAAACAACGTAGCGTCGTCAAACTTCAAACTTAAGCTTTATAAGGTTGGTACTTTTTATCACAGTCATTCTTTTCAAACAACAACCGCTATCTATATGTCAGGTCAGGTACTTCTGGGACTACCCTCGTAGAATAATATGATTTCATTTTATACCGTACGATACTCTTCCTAATCAAGCAGAGCGAGGAGAGAGTATTTGTATTCATTAACCCTACACATCCATACATTGGAATTAGAACAGATAAACAAGTTTATACGCAACTTTTTGAGGCCGACGTTTCTAAATATAAGAACGTTAACAATATTATAATTTGTAAACAAACCGATCTGTTATATCAAATTTCAAGCACATACTTGCGAATCCATTTTGTTAAAAATGGCTAGGTTAGAAAATATACTGCAAGAATGTAATATCAGGATAACGAAGTTCCGCACCACAGTATGGCATCAATTAAAAGCATTAAATTCCTGGTTATACAGGGTGTCCCATTTTAATCCGGCCGGCTGAATAAAATTCGAGGATATTTTCCAGAAAAAAATGTCAGACAAATGTTGCTCAGTTCTAAGGGGGACATTCGATGCCATCAACAATTTTGACCTCGGGTGAAGGGTTCAAGGTCATTCAAGGTCAACTTTTTTTTCTTAAATGGGAACTCCTATTTTTCACATCGGCAATCGATTCTACGTAAAAAAAAATGAAACTTTTGTCTGAAGCATTTTTTTTATAACGCAACCTAATTTCACTTATTCAGCCTCCAAAATTGAAATTTTCAAACTTTCTGAATTTTTTACTCGAGAATGGTGGGGTTTGGGGGGAAATTGCAGAAAACAAAAAGTTCTTGGAATGCTGCAAGGAATTCACTCAAATTTTCGCATAGTTGATCGTGCACTTTTTTCCGCCAATGTTTGGAAAAAATCTTTTATCTCATCATGTCCAGTACCCTCGGCCCTTTTCAGAGCCAATGATCCGAGTGCAAAATCCCATCGGCGACCTCCACGTGGTGCATATCGGATGATGCTATTTTTATGCGTGTCAAAATAACACACTCGGATTTGCGTTGTATCGCGATTATACCTAGGAATCAATTTTATGCCGAGTATCGTTGGTGCACCATTGACAACGATGGTCCTCTTTTCGCAATTGTATGATACAGAACTTTCAGTTCCTTCTGTCGTTAATATACCACTGACAAGAATTACGATATAAGACAACAATTTATGCATGATATATGGTAAAAATGTTTGGTCCATGATACAGCTTGCAAATGAAATATGAACGAAACAGAGAAATATTAACTGAAAATATTAACACTGAATCTAATTGATCAAGGTTTATGGTTAACTTAAACAAAATTGTGCTTTTTTCAATCAAAATTTCTTAATCGTTCTCTCTCTCTCTCTCTCTTTCTCTCTCTCATTTCGTCAGAAAATGGGTTCATTCATATTTTCCGTGTAGACTTGAATAAAACGATAGGATATGATGAGTCTCTACGCGAATTCTATTGTTACGTCCTGTAGATTTAATTAGCAAAAATTCTTTCCCCTCGCGGATTTATATTCTCCTAATATAACTATAATAGGAATATATACATATATAAATATAAATTAGGAAACAGACCCATCTGGCGAACAGCCGTCGCGCCAAATGAAAGGCGATTCGGGAAAATTCCATAACAGGAAACAGTGCCCTGTTGTAAAAACCTATACCTGGGTAGTGTTCGCCAAGTGTGTCCGTCGTCCCAGCTATAAAAACTTGAAACTCCGCGCTAATAAACCTTCAGTGAAACAAAGCAACTCAGAGCATTCCTGCTCTAAAACTTGAAACTCACATTTTCCCAATCCAAAACCATATGTGCCCAATCAGTCAACCAACAAAGCCTACTTCACTGATAGTCGTAAAATCTGATCCCAGCCTTTGATTTACGGCATTTTGATTTTTCCAGCCGTCCACTTGTATACATTTCTCTATCTCAAGAACCCACCACCTCTACTCTTGTCGCGCCTAACTCATTCAGCCAATCATATATCCACCTAAAACTATGAGACACTCACGCTCCACCCTTTAGCCCTTCCATATTCATATCTCCAAAAACTAACTGTCTCCTCCCACGATGTCTTTTAACTTTGCTAATGGCTGAGACTTTTTCCCACTAAGACCAATCCACCCCTTCCTCAAAGGCCATCTCTCTACCCACCCTGATAGCTTCTACCTCCGATTATCACTATAAAAACCGCGGTAATCCGCCTCCGCGGGCACTGCTACTTCTACTTCTACCGTTACTACTACTCTGAGAGATAGAAGAACACGGAAACGAGAAAGCTCAAACTCGCACTCTCATGCAGATATTCAAAACTCAGTTCATTCAAATATTTAGTATTCAAATATTCAAGCATTCGGATTTTGGGAAAAGTGCGGGCTTCCTCTTTATATAAGTGAACGACTATTTGGTGCCTCAATCAGAATACGAATATTAGAAACGAGAGCACCTACGCAAATCTACGCCATTCTCACTTCTGCTTGTGTCAACTCATCCCGAATCAGCAGTAAGTTCTGTTTTTATATATATACTCTTATTTATTGGTTCCACCTGTTTATTGAATACATTTTAGTGGGTCATTATTGTCGTTCTGTGGTATCCATCCAACAAGTCCTTCATTTCTTTGAGACGGTGTACGAGATTAGGGATCTATATGAGTTTGAACACCAACTGCAATATCTCCGTTCCATCATAAATATTACATTTGAAACAGATTTTCACCCAGACCCGACACTCCTACCCCCTTTTCTACTCCGACGTCTACCTATTAGTACTCCGCCTTCTTCTCCTACACACGCGTCCCCGCCTTCAACCCCTTCGATATTTTATTCACCAGTTTCCTTCTCCGAACTATCCACTCCCTTAAATTCACCCGACCACTCACGCTCCCCCTCACCCGATTAATTCTTTACTCATATTCCTACCTTTTTTTTATTCCTCCTTTCTTCCACTTCTCATACATACACACATACACATACACAGACATTCTTCAACTGTATTAAACCGCGCCGTGATTCATTTTGTTATAATAGTCATTTTAATAAATCTGTTTATATTTCATTCTTTTTCCAATTAATTTCAAAATCACATATACCCTTCCAACAGTCAACTCATGGTCCTATCCCCGGTAAAGGGATTCGCGTCCCTGACCGAAAAACGGACCGCTCGTCGTACGTCGGTGCCCGAGTAAAGGGACCCGTCGGGTCCCTGACCCGTTCACTGATACGCGTGTACGAACGAGGTTCGCCTTACTCGCGAACGAAAGGGTTGCGTTCCTCCTCTAGGACGTAACACTATCATACTCTAACAATTAAATATTCTCCTAATGATAGAGTACAATAGAGTACGATGGAAAGTGTTCATCGTACTCTATCTTTACGCGATATCATTTCTTTCGGATTCGATGCAGCAAAACGATAGATTGCGATAGAAAACGATGAGAATCTCTGTAGATCTCATCGCTCTCTATCGCTTTCTCCTTTTCGATGTTTTCCTTGATCAAAGAACTTTTAAATCTTGAACTTTACAATTCAATATGAACTATCTGTGGTACCTCATAAAATAATCTCATAATTGTAATCGCGAATATTCAGCGGCCATATCGGCGCGAGCTTAGACGCGGTGCGGCGGGATGTAGGAGCGGCGAGGTAAGGACATAAACATTGGCGCGTCGTTCTTCCTCCTCTCGCCGCGCGCCGGCAACAGTTCCTTTGTCGACTGGGCAGTGCTCTTTAGCCTGAGCAGCTAGATGCTCCTCCCATAACGTCTCGACGTGCACTCATTCCTCAGATTTCTGTCATTAATAACTCGATAATTATTGCGAATCACAAAACGATATGGGACTTTTATATTTGTCTTAACCCGCTCTATGTCTCCACGAGCTCTGCCAGATTAGTTATAAGACACCCTATATATATAACCAGACATGAATGTCGCCAGCGCCACTTAGACATTACGTGGTCACGGGAATTTATCTCGTGTCAGGGGGCTGGTATAAACTATATAACATTTCTATTTACTGTTTTTGCAATAATATAATAACTGTTTCACTGTTTCACTTTCAGTTACTGGCTGGCTATAATTATGAGTATATAAAAAATAAGCGCATTTATCCATAATGATGATACATAAAATGATATGTCTATAATTGATAAATAACAAATATCAAATTATTCAATTTTTAAATATAAAGATATTCATTAATCGTATAGTATTCTACAGTTCACTATTTTAATGACCACTGATCACTACTTAACCTCTAAATGCAAAATAAATTGACGTATAAAACACGTTCAATCAGTGAAAAATAAATCATGGAGGTGATGTTATTTCGACATTGAAAAAGTCTAAACTACATCGAATCGACTACATCAATTATATCAAATCGAGAGTTTATTTCTCGTTGGATTTTATTTATTTTATATTTGGTACGCATTTGTTACGTACCAGAGACTTTGGAAAACTACCCTGTTCTCAAGCAAGGTATAATGTGGTATCAAACAAAGTTATACCAAAGTGGTAAATCACACCTCTACCACATAGTACCAAACACGTGAAAACGTTCTAGTACAGTTTGGTATACTTTGGTACATGTATCAAAGAATCGCCAAAAATCGCTTATAGATATCTATAATACATACAAATTCTCATCTGGTATATGATTTCATACACTTAATAAGATTCAAAATAATACACATGTAAAAATTAAGTTATTCTAGTAAACTGTATGTCATACCATATATATTGTAAAGCTGGATACAACTTTTCTTTAAGTAGAGCATCATAAGCCATGACGTCGGCATACTGCTTATCGGTTAATATGTAGCCAGAGTTATGTTTTGCTCTAAAAAATGGTAATATATCTTTAACTGTATCCAAGGTGTTCATACCAGCTCTAAGTAATGGTAGTCGGCCGTTTGGTGTTTTAAATGGATTATTAGTGAGGTTTGTTTTTAAAGGTACACCACTGAATTTAGCGTATGCCTATAAATAATATAATACCCCATTATAGAATTAAGCCTATTATCTTATATTAATTGATTATTAAAATATACGATATAAAATTTTAATAATAAAGATTACAAAAGAATATTTCTGAGATTTCTAAAACAACTTTTCTATTTTTTATATCATAAAAAGAGTGAAGAAAATAGAAGCATCAAATTTTATTGTTATAGAAATATTTCTACACAAGGAAATCATTATTTAATTATATATAAATATAATTTAGTTATACAAGATGTCCCATTTTAAAGGACCCACTCAAATAACTCAGAAACACTACGTTAAATCGAAAAATGCTTAAGACAAAAGTTGTTTAGCTTGAAGTTGTTTAGCTTATCGACCTTTGGAAATTTCAAAATTATTAAATTAATTAAAAGTTAGGACACTATTATAATAGTATATTCTTGATAGTAAATAAAGTAAAAAAGTCTAATACTATTTTTTCTTTCGACGAATAGTTAGCGAGATATCGTAAGATAAATGTTGGAAAAGTTACCAAGTTTTCCTTAAATATCTTAAAATATATTAAGCAAATAAAAAAATGTTTCAGACAAAAATTGTTAAAATTAATTGGTAGAAAAAGATGATATAATATCGATCGAATAATAAAGATGATATAATATAATAATAAAAAATTTTGATTTCCATTTAAGAAAATTGATAATTAGTAAATATCTCGAAAATGGAGCCATCTATAAACAAAATACTATCGCTGTCCTATGTTCCCCTTCAAACTAAACAACTTTTGTCTTAAGCATTTTTCAATTTAACGCAGTGTTTCTGAGATATTTGAGTAGGTCCGTTAAAATGGGACACTCTGTATATAGTATCTCATAATGCACAACTTTCCTCTGGGGATGTGAAAGAGAATGTAATTTTAAGTCGGAAGTTCCTCTTCCATTTCTTCCTCCGACTATTAATAACAAAGTTATTAACGAGGAAAGTCGACCAATAGTATGGCGTGCATGGTTATTGCGCACTACCGTACACTGGCGTGGGGCTCCGCTCTACGCTGGCGCTGAAATTTGTTTTTATCTGATGATATCAAATAGCTCATTTATCATCCATTTGATGAGCTTAAAAAGTCGGAAAATACCTCACTTCTTCCTTTGTCTTCACAGTTCGTTGTTTATGTTTTGAATCTCGTTGCGTCTAGAATTGAGGAACAGCTACTAAAGAGTATCTCGTACAAGAAATAACTGTCAGCCGTTTCTCAATCCGCGAGACATCAAAGATGCAAACATAAACATGGGAAACGTAAACATGAGAAAAGCAAAACAAAAGGTAAATGGAGATTTGATGAATTATTGTGATGAATTAATACGTTGTAGAAGAGTATACGAAACACATATTACGTAGTTTCTGCGAACATTTTGAACCGGCGCTCTAAAAAAATCGGTCTTTTTCAAGACTAAACTACCATTAAAAAACCATTTATCCTTATTATTTAAAATATTATTTAATAAAATTTCCATTTTTAGACTTGTTTTCAATCAATTTTTTATGTTTTTGTTGATTAAAAATGATGATTAATCAATTAACTCATGAAATGAGTGATAGATGAGCTATTTGATATCGTCAGATAAAGACAAACGGTGCCAGTGCAGAGCGGAGCCCCGCGCCAATGTACGGCATTGCGCGACAGTTATGCGCGCCACGCCATTGATCGACTTTTCTTGTTAATAACTTTGTCATTAATAGTCGGAGAAAGAAATGGAAGAGGAATTTTCGACTCAGATTTTTACTTTTTTCACACCCCCCGAGGAAAGTCGTGCATTATACTCTGTATAAATATGAGGGTAGGGTGAAAAGTTCCTGAATAGAGGTAGGGTGAAAAGAACCTGAGTAGGAAAATAAAATTTTTTTAAATTGATTTTCATTTATTGTTCAACATAATCGCCATCTAATTCGATGTACTTTTTCCAACGATGTTCTAGAGTATTAAGCTAGACTGATTTGTCAAAATCCTCAAAATAATCATTTACAACGTCGCTGACTTCATTGTCATTCGCAAATCTTTTTCCACCATGCCATTTTTAAGGTTGGGAAAGAGATAGTTACTTTAAGGGTTAAATCTGGCAAGTATGGTAGGTGGACAAACAATTCGAACTATAATTCATGATTTTAGGCCTCGCAACACATGGTATATAGGCTGGGACATTGTCATAATGAATCAGTACTTTCTTTTCGCCAAATGTGGCCAAATGTTTTGCTTGATTTTACCGTTACAATATTGTAATAAATGCGCATAATACTCCGTATAATACACGCCCTTGTTTTTTTTGTTTTGTTGTTTTTCCCTCTTCAAGATAGTCGATGAAGAGTTTCCACGCACATCCCAAAAAGCAATCGCCATAATCTTACCAGCCGATGAAATTGTCTTTGTCTTCTTTGGTTCGCTTTTCATGGTCTATTGTTTTGATTATTATTTGGTCTCAGAAGTATAGTGGTGAATCCAAGTCTCATCAATCGGTTATGGATCAATGAAAAAATTTGATTGGATTGCGCTTATAGAGTGTCAAACAATCGTTTGAAACATCTTTTTGACATTGGCTTTGCTCACAAGGAGATGACGCAACCTGTTTCATCGATTTCAACACGAGTCATAGCACACTCGATAGCTATGATGCCGTGTATAAACGCCCTAACATAATATGCGTGAATGCGTCTTTGTTTACGAGTAATTTGCAGTTAAAGTTTGGCTCGCGGAGCCGTGCCACACATAGGGCGCAAGTTACGACACTCCTTCACGATGCCGGCGTGGCTGAGCAGACAGAGGCTCCCGCGCCGCGAACACTTTTGCGCCGACGACGGCGTTCGAGTCCCGCCGACGACCGGTTCGTTTTCTTTTTCGTATGTAAAGACATGTAATAAATATTTTTATATTGTACTTATGTATAATTCCTTTTTTTGTTTCTACGCTATTAATCAAGGCTAATTAGGAGAGTCAGGTCTTTCAAATATGAACACAACTTTTTTATTAATTACAATAAAATGTTTTTTTCATGTAAATCTATTTCGCATAAATATTTCGTATGGTATGGGAAAGAAATGGCCAGACAGTGATTATTTTGTGTGAGAGAAACCCGAGAGCCGTTAGAACCGTTACAAGTGGAAAGGAACCCTCTTCCCTTTCCCCTTCTCGCAGAGGGATTCTCATGTTTTGTGACGTGCTTGCTTCATTCTCTGGGCAGTCTTCGTAACGTGAACAGTAAAAAACTCGTGTTAAAAATTGAAACCACGTTTGTAGATGAAGCAACGATCAGCTATGTGCAAAATCTAGCAAAATGTGATATTACGAAAGAAGAGTTGACGGACGCAATAGAATATCTTCGAGGTAAATATATTGAATGTGTGAGCAATGGAAAGATATATTTGTACGTATTGTTATTGGCCTTGTATACAATATCAATTATATTGAATTCATATTTGCAGATGCCCTGATACAATTTCCGTCCAATCTTGTTCGCGACAGTCGCGAGGTATTTTACAACGTCAATCAAATATGTATTCCACCAACTATACATAGTCAAAAGTGTATTTGTGCAAAAAATTATGCGTTCATTACGTGCAGTTGGTGCAGAAAACTATTATGTTTTACATGCTTTTATACGGCATTCCATCCGCAGAGTTGTGACATGATCACATTTTATAATACGTAACTTTCATTTGTGTGCCTTATATTTGTCTTATGTGTGTGTGTGTGTGTATGTGTTTTGATACGGACAAAAACATTTTATTGTAATTAATAAAAAAGTTATGTTCATATTTGAAAGACCTGACTCTCCTAATTAGCCTTGATTAATAGCGTAGAAACAAAAAAAGGAATTATACATAAAAACAATATAAAAATATTTATTACATGTCTTTACATAAAAAAACGAACCGGTCGTCGGCGGGACTCGAACGCCGTCGTCGGCGCAAAAGTGTTCGCGGCGCGGGAGCCTCTGTCTGCTCAGCCACGCCGGCTTCGTGAAAGAGTGTCGTAACTTGCGCCCTATGTGTAGCACGGCTCCGCGAGCCAAACTTTAACTGCAAATTACTCGTAAACAAAGACGCATTAACGCATATTATGTTAGGGCGTTTATACACGGCATCATAGCTATCGAATGTGCTATGACTCGTGTTGAAATCGATGAAACAGGTTGCGTCATCTCCTTGTCAAATGTGAGCAAACGCGGCACCTACCTAACGCATAGCTTTGTCATACTCTAATATTCGTGTAAGATATTGCACGCACGTTCGCATACGTTGACATGCTAAGTCTTTGCTATGTCACTCACTTTCATTCTGCGATCTGCACGCAGTTGTGGATTATTTCGATTATTTCTGGCGTAGTCACTTCAATGGAACGTCCACTGCGTGGTTCATCACCAGTGTTCGTCCAACCTATTTTAAATTTAGCAACCCAACACTTAACAGTTATATTCGATAGAAAAGAGTCCCCTAATGTTGAATCCAGCTTGTTTTTTATATTGATTGTATTTAAGCTTTAAAAAAAATCTAATTACGTTTAATCACGTATTTCTATTTTGTCCACAAATAATGCTTGAGGAGTTTACTTCGGTAAGCTGTTAAACCAGTACTAAACAACTTATTGACTTGAAACTTTGAACATAAGCACATGAAGAATGAAATCATAAAATACTATCAAAATATCGAACATAATGGCGCTCTCTATAGGCGAGGCCCGGAACTTTTCACCTTCTTGCAATTAAATATTATATTTAATTATATACAGGGTGGTTGATTATAAGTTGCCAACTCGAAATGTGAAGGTAGATTGGGTTAAGATAAACATAAAAGTCCCATACCGTTTTGCGAGATTCGCAATAATTATCGAGTTATTAATGACAGAAATCTAAGGAATGGGAGCGCGCCGACATAGATGATTGGAGAAGCGTTGCAGCTACTCAGGCCACAGCGTGGCCCACTCGACCTAGCAACTGTTGGCGGCGTGCAGCGAGACGTAGGTCCGG